CAACAACAACAACAACACGATAAAAACAAAAGTGATCATATATTAGTGAATAAAATTCGAAAGTTCTCTGAAAATACAACTGCGCACGGTGTGCGACGTGTTTTTATCGCTAAGAATGGGTGTACGGCAAGGCTTTGGCTATTCGGAATCTTGTTTTGCTTTGCCATTCTAATAATACAAGCCAATCATTTGGTTAATAAATTTACAAGATATGAAAAGATCACTACTATTGAGGTGAGTCCAATCACACAACCGCTTCAAATCATATCATCTGAGATCATTTCATTTTCCTACCCTGTTGAATCCGCAAGGGAATTTTCTTCAGAAGATCATCAAAATTTTTTGGTTAATTTCATTCTGCTTTGGTATGGCAACTAAATCAGTTCAATAGTGATCAATTATCTGTAGAAAAATGAGATTAGAACACTGCACTCTCCCGACTCAGAAATATCGAATCTCAAATTCGACTGTGAGCAATTTCAGTTGAAATTCGATAATGTGCTGTATCCAGCGATAACGTTCTGTAATTTGAATCCGTACAAGCGAAGTCTCATCCGGTTGGTTCCATCCGTTAAGGACACGGTAAGTTTGCGATCTCAAACTGAAATTTCCACATGAAACTTGATTGAACAACCATATTATGAATTCACCTATTCAGCACAAACAGATGAATTATCATCCCAAACAATCGACTTTACTCACCAAATAAGTGGTCACACTACTAAGCATATTTATTCTATAGATTTATAAGCTATCGATGTAGTGTTGCAGATGGACGTTTATGAGAATGCAAAATGGATGAGCAAAAAGAACAGGCAAAATCGACCACGGACTGACTCACTGAGCTATGGCGCTGTTGAGGATAAACTCAAAGTGCTTGAACTGTTCAAAGATGAAATTCTACAAGCCTATCATGAGTCTGGTCATCAAGATGATCACTCAACCAACTCCTCAATGAAACTGAATGAGCGAGATGGAGCAAAAAACATTCCAACAGATGAATTCAATCAACAAATTCTTGATCAGAATGTGGAAATGAATCAAAATCAGCGATTCCGTAAGGAACCTGCAATCTGGCTTAATCAAGAGACAAGTAGAAAAAATAGCGATACTCAACACCATAGATCACGACGAGAAGTAGGTTTATTCTATAGTAGAATTTTATAGTACTCCGCTTCACGGACTGCATTCCACTTGTCGAAGGATATCGTTGCCAGGAGATCATAAAAGAGCAATTTGATCACTATCAATCAAAAAATACCTCACCTCACAGCTGCACATCTCCTCTCAACTTGTATTCAGGTGTGAATATGATTCAGATCCCACGACGTCGCTATGAAGCAATCGAGGCGCATTGTAAATGCATTGGCACAATGGATATGGAATGTATCCGATTCGAGTCAGTACCTCTATCGAATGATGCCAAATGCATCTGCACATTCGACCGTGAAATGAACGTTGCTTGGCCTTGTTTCAATATCTCGTATGCTAATTATTCTTATGCTCGTTGAGTATTGCTTGCGTTTACGATCAACTAAATAGTAATAATTCAGAGTATGGCAAGATGAGGAATGCCCTATCTGCGCTGAAGACGGTCATTGTGAGCCAAAAAGTAACGAAAACGTTATCAGTGTAAACTGGCCATGCATGTGTCGTCGACGTCAATCTGACACTGTGCACAATTTATTCATTGTTTTATCATTCGTTTCTATTCATATCATTCAGCATTCATAATAATGACAATATCGCAGAACAATACCAACTGAAATTCTGGTCATAAAACCATTGAAATCACATAGCATTCATTCATCAATTTACAATAACAATACAATGCAGAAACCGTACTGCATCGCGAAACGGATGAACATATTGAAATTGTGGACGGCACACCCCGATTGGGAGCAGAACGAAATGCACTGGCCTTCGAGTACAACGTCCACTACGACTACCACAACCAGCACGCCGTCAACAACACTACTGCCCAGCACAGAAGATGATGAATATCGTCGTAAAAAGAATCAATCTGCACGCGTTTCGGCACCAGAAACCGTTAAAGCCATGGGTTTTACAGTTGGTTTCAAACGCACTTTTTGCATGAATATGAGTCTGTTCTAGAATTTTTTTCGAGTTTCTCTATCGAAAATATGAAAAGTAAAATATGAATGACAATAATATGATAATAATAACGATATTAATATTATTACTGATGATGAACATAAAAGTTGGTTAAATTCTAGATAAAATATGTTTGATATAAAATTAAGGTTAGAAAATTAATGGCATGCTAAGTCTTATTCTAGCGACTGATAATCAGACAAAAAAAATTGGGCATTTTGATGTCGTATAGTAAACTGAGTCGAGCGATTGTAGATCAATGATGAGCGATTTTTCTTTTTGCAAAAACAAAAAAATTGACGGAAGTAATAAAAGAGGTATGAACTCGTATTTATAAAAGCGAATGAATACTAATTACAATTAAAATAAAGGGCATGACCGATGGTGTAGCGATGCTAACGCGAGCCAAAGAGAATCTGATCTTCACGATGTCAGCCCTATCCAAAATGCAACGAATCGCGTTATCGCATTCCAAGAGGGATTTCATTGAGATGTGCTCATTCGACGGCAAACAATGTGATATTGGTATTCTTTATTATTCATCTCAATTATCAATTCCTAATGCTTCCTGTAAATGATTAGTCAATGAATTTGTAATTGCAGACAAAGACTTTAAACTTCACGTGGATCCCGAATTCGGTAATTGCTACACGTTCAACTGGGGTATAAACAATAATTATACGAGCAGCAGAGCTGGTCCTATGTATGGTAATAAAATCCACATTTGTATTAATGATAGTACTGATAATTTTAATAACAATAATAATAGCAATAATAATAATTATAATAATAGTGATAATAATAATAATAATTTCGTGTAACAGGAATGATAGTTTATTTCAGGAATTCGAATACTTTTATTCGTAAATATTTCGGATTATATGGCCACATCTGAATCCACTGGTGTTCGAATCGCTGTTCATTCGCCAACTGAATTCCCGTTCCCGGACACGTTCGGATACTCTGCCCCGATCGGATTCGCTTCTTCATTCGGCCTTAGGAAGGTATTATTATTATTGTTATTGTGCTCGTTATCATTTTCATATCGCATACACACAAAATCTCTCTGTAAAAGATCTCAATTCAATTCCAGGTGCTTTCGTGATACACTTATAGTGTATCATCAAAAATATTTTGCTCTTTGACCTTTCACAATTTTCGACTGATTTTCCATTAATTAAACTCTGTTTCGACAGAGACATTCATGCATTAAGCTGAAACATTAAGTGTTTTTTAGCAAGTTGTCAAAAAATTGGGCGCTCCTTATGGCGATTGCGAGGTACGGAAGAAAATGAACTCGTCGTGGTATATTTACTCGGATTATGACTATAATCCTGAGGTATATCGAGTTGAAAAAACAACATCCAAACCTTTCAAATTGTCTCCTTATAATTTCCAAAAGATTCCCGAACTCCCAATCCAAAATTTGCTTTCAACTGAAAAAAATGCATACTGAACAGGTCTCATACGCAAAAAATTGATTGAATATGATAAACGTTCGAGCAATTGGCTCTATCTGTCATATTGATCTGAGTATCGTACATATCCTATTAATGAATGATTACATCTCGGAACGCTGTTCTCATTCATATTAAATGCAGTCTGATGCACTTCTAAAGCTGGAATTTTGAAGAGGGAAAACGAAACTAATTGGAAGAATATTGGATATTTTTCGAAGGCATTTCTTTGCAATCTTTGAAACATTTTTCATTTTTTGGATATTTTAATCGAAATTTACACTGTCGTCATATTTCGTCAAATCGGCCTTAGTAAATCGTTTCTTCAACACACTTCACTATCACCTTCACAATTATTGCTCTACCGCAGACCAATTTCAATAATCTCATAAAAAACTGAAGAAGAAAGGCAACAAATACGTGTCATTTCAGGGTTGCCATCGAAGTTGTTTTCAAAATGTTTTACTGGAGAAATGTGGTTGTGGTGACCCAAGATTCCCAGTTCCGAAAGGACTCAAGCATTGCTCAGCATTTAACGCATCGGCAAGTTCGTATCTATGTTGATCATATGGCTATGATGAGTGCATCTTCATCAGTAATATTCAAAGGTAATTACAGGGGCATGTCTCGAGAGATCGATCCTCGAAGTCGGTGATTTCCATCATCTAACAACCGATCTGCAAGACTGCGAGTGCAGACAACCATGTGAACACGAATCCTTCACTGTCACGTTTTCCACCTCAAAATGGCCATCAAATATTAACGATGTTATTTCTTTAAACATTGCTACAACCCAATGAATAATATCACTCTATGCTGATCGTAAGGTAAAATTGCAGTTGGCTGACTGTGGGGATATGGGCGAGGAAGAATGCAGTGCTTATTATGGTAGAAATGCTGCCATGGTACAGGTTTATTATGAACAGCTCAATTATGAACTACTCAAGGAATCTGAAGCTTATGGAGTGAGATTATTTCGTTGTAATGCTTTCGTTTATC